ACTTGATGCTTGCATGTAGGATCCTCTATCTGAACTATCTTTCCTGCATTTTGCTGTCTTAGAGTTTGGTTATCACCATCGAACATCAAAAAGACTGAAACTCACTTTTCCTAAATCTTTTACTATGACCTTGTTTTGGTGCTACAACTTTGAACTTTTTCCCTCCTCTATGATGTGCATTCTTCATGGAAATTTTGCCTTATATACATTTTACTCAACAAATATCAGTCATTCATTTTTTTACTTTTAAAATTTTAGTTTGAAAATAGATTATTACTTTGATCTCAAATTTACCCTTGCCTACAAGATGGTCAGGGATAAAGACAGAGAAGAGATTGAGGGACTGTCCAACCACTGCCTGGCTCAAACTTATACACACCCCGTGAGAGAGAACCAACCCTTGAGACTATTAAAAGTACTTTGCTATGATTGCACATGGGACCCTAACATGGTGGTTCTCGGAGAAGTTCCACCCAGCAGGGGTTTAAAACAGATGCTGTGATTCACAGCCATACATTGGGATTAGCACAGAGAATATTGTGGACAAAAGGGTGAGGAATAGAAGGACCCAGAAGGGATGGGAGCTCCACAAGAAGACCAACAGAGCCAATTAACCTGGGCCCAGGGTAGGTTACGGAACACCAAGCAAGGGCCATGCATGGACCTCACCTAGTACCCCCTACATACACTTAACCAATGGCCAGCTTGGTCTTCATGTGAGTCTCCTAGAAATGGGAGAGTGTGCTGTCTCTGACATGGACTCTGTTGCCTGATTTTTGATCACTCCCCCTGGTGGGGCTGCCTTGCCAGGCCACAAGGGAAGAAGATGTGCTCAGTCCTGATGTGACTTGATGTACTGGTGTGTGTTGGAGGGGGGGACTCCCCTTCTCTGAGAACTAGTAGAGGGGGGATGGAGAAAAGGGGAGAGATGACAGGGGTGGGACAGGAAGGAGAAGAGGGAGGGGTCTACAATCTGGATGTGAAATACATACATACATACATACATACATACATACATACATACATACATA